ATGCATTTCCCTGAAAGATTAGGCCAACATGCATGCACATTCTCAGGATAACTCAACATTCAGAATGCAAAATCCACTTCCAAAGAAAATCAGGTTGCGTGTGACCAATGAATTAAGTGCTGTCAAGTCCTAGTATCAGATACAAATCCAGCCTGCGCCAATCCCTTCATGCAATGAGGTAATAAGTATAAGCAGAAAATAACGCTGCTCTGCTATAAGACTGGGGTTTATGGATGACACCAGAGACCCAAGCAAAAATCTAATTTCCAGATCTCTGCTCCAGTTCTTACTGCATTAGTGCATCATGACTAGGCAAGGAAACAAGTACATTAGTGGTACATCACAGCTAGGCAAGGAAACAAGAGGATTTCCTCCCTGAAAAATGCTTGCCTTTCTGGATTAAAGGAATGAAATCAAAACATTGTGTAAAATAACATCCAGAAAGGTAGGCCCAAGTACTAGCTGCCTCTCATCCTGGAGTAACTTCCAGATTAGAGCATCATCACTGGTGTTTTTCCTGGAAAGTCAGCATTATGTCAGGGATCATCCCAAACAACAGCATTCTATTGGCTGGGTTCAGATGATCAGCAGGAAAAAGAGTTACCGTGCCTTCTTTTGCTCACCCTGGTGCAAACTGGTTGCAGGATTTGCCTAATTACGCGCATGGAGTGCAGCTTCCCATGCCATCGAAACCTGGTGAGCTGAGTGGAGAGGGTGGCTTCAAAACTACCCATGGCTTGTCGAAGGTTTTTGTGGTGGGTTTGGAGCCAGCCACTGCTGCTTCACTTACCAGCCTTGGCTGACACAGGAAGCCACATGCGGTGATTAAGCAAATTGTGGCTGGCACCCAGTTAGTTCACATGATACATTAAGCGGAATGTGGCACCCCAGGCTTAAAATTAGCTTAAACCCCTTCCTGTGGAAGAAATGATTGGGCACAGTGAGGGTCCTGATGCACTTCCTCCCTTCTCTTCTCCCATGACTCTTCTCAGAGGTATCACAGGTAATACCATGCAGCCATTAAGGGAAGCACAGTGAGGATGACAGATGCCCCCAAGTGCCCAAGTAGCAACTTAGAGGGAAACTGTCGGAGACACCTTGTAACTGATCCTGGCAGAGGAGGACTGCTCATTTCTTTGGTAGAGAGGCCCTCTACCAAAGGAGGCCAAGCATAACACAGCTTGTTCCCCACCTTGCCTGCCATCATGGCTTCATCCTCCTTGCTGAGGACAATGCACTCCACTCCCAGCCTATCATGGAGCAAGTGTCTGCCACATAGCAGAACCTCAGGCCCCATTTGGCCAGCCATGGCAAGCAGGGATGGGATGAGCTATATTGCGTTCAGCCCAAGCTTGTTCCATCTCTGCCACTGCTGCTGAGCAGCTGCAGGTCTGGGCGAGGCTGGGGCAAATTCTGCTGGGACTCCTCTGGAGGAGGCCTAGCAGTGCATCCTCTCTTCAATCAGCACGCTGAGAGGAAATCCAGGAGAATGAAGGAGGGCACCTCAGGGGAGTTTGGCTGATCCCCCCACCCTCACTTGGTGCATTCTCCTGGTCCAAGAAGACCCAGAAAGAGCTGGTCTTGCTCTCACCAAGTGGCTCTGTAGGCTTTGAGGAATTACATGGACTTTTTGACTTATCTGGATTTGGAAAACACAGCAAGCCCAGGAATGGCTACAACAAGTCATGGCTTGTTAGGCTTTGCAGCCACACAGAATATTGTGAGGAGCCTCAAACAACATGTTCAGCCAATGTGGCTTTGAAGGTCTGGTGGCTTAGGGTGTCATGTGAACCCCAATGGTTTCTGGGAATGGGAAGGGCCTTCATCTTGAAATCAGTTCTCTGATCAGTTAATCTGCTGTCCACCGTCCGCCCATAGGCAATGTCCAAAGAAGGCAGTGGAGTCTTCGGACTGATCTCATGGGAGGCGCCTGGCTGTGCAAAAGCTGAAATTATTTGTAAGGCTGCCAATGTAAACAACTAGGAAGAAGGATATTTAATGTAACTGAACAGATTTATACCTCCCTGTCACATTGATTATTTGATTCCCGTTCATCCACCAAGCTCCTGAGCAGCTGCCCCAGCAGAGAGAACAAATACAAACCACAAAAGGCTCTCATACTGCAAAATTGCAGCTGTCAGCTATAATGGGCCAGAAAACACAATACAGAACTCCTTTGCTCTTCCAGAGATGTGCACCCTCTTGAAAAGTACTGATAAACTCAGAGCCAGCCAGGAAGATAGCTGTGAATGCTACCACACAAGCAGTGCCTTGCACCGGATCACTCCTTTACTCCCTTGCAGAGTCATCCAAGGACCTACTTTACTAGGCTTTTTCTCTGCTGGTATAAATCACCCTGGACTCCAAAATTGCCCTGTGGGCACTTGACAGTACGGTACATCAAAAACTGTTCAAAGTTACCTAGGACGTAAAATTAGTGCAGCAGTACTGCAGCAGTGATCTGATACAGCTTTATCCATTCATGAGTTATAGACCTTTCCTTGCAGTCTTCCTGAAGCATGGCAATTCCAGAAGCAGGACATGCTCAAAACCCAGCATGGATTTTTAATATGCAGTCTAATTTAAGGCCCAAGCAGCTGTGGATGCTGTGACACCAATCATACTTGAATCTTATATCCAGGGGTCCAGAAACTTTGATGTGCATAGTCACGATTTCCACTGTAGAATAGCAAGGGTAAATTCGCATCATTGTTTTTCATGGAAAGAAAAAGTCCTAAGGTGGCTTCTGTGTGTGATCGCGCCTGCAAATGTCCATTAGTTGATGGTGCTGTATGACAGCATTGCATCAAACCGTTTTTATTGTTTCCCAGGGTGCAGATAAATTGACATCTCACTACATGGGACACTGTGACAAAAATGATATAATGTGTGGAATTATTAATTTATTTGTATCTGTCCAACATTGCTAACGCTGTTTCAGAAGTGGTACTCTCCATCTGGGGAATAACGCTGCTCTTTCACCTACTGACTCCTCTGCAAGTCTCCCTCTGCTAGCTAGCCAGCTGACAAATCAAAGCCGCAGCCTTTGTTCTGAATTGTCCAGAGTATCCATTTTCTCCTTAGTTAATGGCCACGCAACCAAAGGGAGGCAAGACTCTTGCAAAAATATGCTACATTTCTTCTTTCCAATCCTGTCACGCCCACCAAGAAATCTCATCAGTATTACATCAGCAGGACTTCCTCAGCTATGTTGCCTTTGGAATTCCCTACCCAATACTCGGGAACTCATCCTCATTGCTGCTAATGGAATCTGATTTTATTGCTGATTTTTATTGTCACTGCTGTAATAAAGTGTTTTATTATTTATGGATTTTATTTCGTTTTAAATTTTTAACATGTTGCTTTGCTCATTTTAATATGTTCTTTGCTGCCTCAAGAGTCTCTAACTGAGAGACAGGACAGATATATTTTAACAGGAAATATTACCTGAAAGTAGTACAGGTATTCAGTCATGTATCAGATTGCTTGGGTCTTAAAGGGCTCTCATTGGGTTAGAATCCAAAGCAGCAAGATTGCCACTTCCATAGTGCTTGATATCTTTGCTCGCTTAAGGCAACCCCCAGCCAGACACACTGGGAGCTGTAGGGTATTTTTTTGCCTATATATACAAAGGATTGTGATCTAAAAGGGTTTTTTGTTTTGCTTTTGTTTTGCCTGGGTATTAAGCTGTGGATATAACTGGCCACCATTCAGACATCAGGATAAACCATGGTTTAGGCTGATGACAATGAAGCTAGGCAAACACTGGGCTTATGTGCTCTTTCCTTCCTTTGCTTCTGATTTCAATTAACCTTAGTTTAGCATTTCATCCAAATCCTAAACTGTGTTTATAATCTTAACTAAATTTTGTTGCGGCAGGATAGATATATTTTTTTATATAAATATATCTCTGCCCATCTTTTTTTACTTTTCAAAAGTCTGTGTGACTATTCATTAATTTGAACTTATCTGAAAACTAAATTGATCCATTTTTAAAACACGCTGAACCTAGACAGGGGGAAGCAGGGCATTGTAACATGGTAAGCCAGGAAAACTTGCCTAAGACTGGGGGAGAAAGAACCAGTTTCCCTGTTTATTTATGTAAAACATTTCTATCTCATCCTTCCAGATAAAACATCTCAGGATGGCTTACAATAATTAAAATACTAAAAGTACAATGATTAAAACAATAAATGACAAGTAAACAAATAAACAATCACCCTGCAAAACTAATAAAAAAGAAAGAAAATGGGACTGTAATCTTAAAACTTAAAACATCTAAAATCTTAATGCTTAAAAGAATAAATAAATAGAATAGGGACAGAGGATGCTTCTCAGGGAAGACTGTGTGTATGTAAGAAATGTCGCCAGTGTCCTTAGCTTTTCCCTCATGGGTGCAAAAGCAGCTGGGTGGGGCACTGCTGGTTGTAAAAAAACACAAGCGGGCCAAGGTTAAGAAGTCCCTCTCCACAGCATGATGGTTCTGCTTCAAAGTGCAGCTAAAACAGCTGTTGTTGTTGACTTTAAAAGTCCAGTGACTGAATCATAATAGTTCCGCCCTAGTCACTCTCTGGGAAAAACAATGAGCCGACATCCCATGGAAAGCTTCACAACTAACAACATACCATTTGGAAATAAACAAAGATAAGCCATTGCTTGATTTGAAGGATTTATAGCCATACATTTTGGATTTTATAGCTGCCAGTAAGGCTAACTCAGCCTAGAGCTGTTGACCCTTGTGAACCTATGGCACTGTTTGTGCTATACTGTGTTTGAAATTGCTCAGGCTTCCTGACCCCAGAAAGCCTGTCTTCCCACCCTCTTCTGCTCCTATTGCTGCTCAGCCAGAGCAGTCTGCTAGTGAGCACACTAAGGTAGGAGGCTTGTCAGAGAAGCTCCCTTTGTTGTGGCCAGATTGCACCATTCATGTCCGGAATGTCTTGGTCCGGGGAGTCATGCAAGGTGGGCCATTACAAAGTCAGTGTTTACACAAAACTTACCCATATAAAAGTATTCTGGGGACCTTTCGTCAGTCGCTAAATCTCTTATTACGTTTCCAAACCGCAGCCATAGCCCAAACGCGACGACGGCTGAACCCGCCAACTGGAAGAGCAAAACAAAATCCAAAAGGTTAACAGTTAAAGGAAGGGCAGTGAGTACAGAAAATTTGCAAACAAATAACGCCTTGTTCTTTCTGGAAACTCCCAAGGCAGATGATTCCACATGCTACTGTATGAAGACTGCTATTGGCATTAACACACTTTATTTCTTAATATTGCTCTGCTAAAACGGGTGCGTACAGACATTTTTATCAGTAAGCTCAGGCAGAAGCACCCTCATGTTTCTTTCAGAGGCACAATTTTTCTTGCAGCTTGAACAGCAGGGAAGCCGCATGTGTGCATTTAAAGGAGAAGTTGGCATGCTCAGTGCTGATCGGCTGAACATTGGTGAAATCACTAATCTCCCTACTCCCAAAGCAATGATTCAATATTTTTTAAATCAACCAAGGCCCTGTGGCACCTTAAAGATGGATTTTAGCCCAGTTTTTAAAAAGGGGGAGTTGCCTATATAATTGCATAAGAGTGTAATCACATGCATATTTAGACAGAAGAAAGCGTTGCAACTTCTTATGTGCTGGGAATTGTAGGACAGTTTCTGACTGAACTGCAATTGGCTTATACTCTTAATGTACTTATACTGCATTAAAAATAAAAAAACAGCCAACAGTCCACTCAAAGGAAGTGGAAAGAGACAAGACAGATGACTGAATTAGCATTCAATTTGCTGGTCAGTGTCCATCAAGTGCACTGCAACAGTGGGAAGAATACAGGCTTGCCTTGTGGAAAAAAAGAATATATACATTTGTACATATCCCTGGGCTATATGTACATACAAGATTTGCTGATCGTGAACAAACTCCTATTTTGATATTCATGTAGAAACGGGTTGTGTTTTCTTGGGCTTAGGAACCTGAGGCAGTTGGTCTTGGACACCTTCTCTGTCTACTTCTCAAAAGCTCTTTACCTGGTATTTAAATCAGCTCAATGCTTATAAATATAAACGTTGCTTTCAAGGAAGCTTCTTCTTTGTGGAACATGCAACCAAGGGTTGCGATTACTTCATGTTGTATTAGGAGAGATTACCAAACACTTAAGCACTTGAGCCTGCCATCAGTATGACAGATCCAAACACATGCAATCCTAGATTGGAATTCCCTTCAGCTTCATCCCAGAATGATAACAGTTTCCCTATGGAGCGGCAAAGGTGATAGTTATGGAGATGTCAGCAGGTTTGGTGTCAGTAAGACGTTCAGTTGGCAATTCCATGCCTCCCCTAATGAGGAGAAAACCCGTAAGAAAACTCTTGAGTCGATTCCTTTGTGGAAGAGAGTAATTATTTTGCTAGGGATGCCCAGGTCCTTTGACAATGAGGCCCTTGATAAAGATAGCATGCCTCTTCTAATCAACTTGTGGTGGTGGTGGCAGTGGAGTGGGGAGCGGGGGAGGATTTCTTAGTACGGAGCAAGTGAACAAGAGACAATAGCCAGTGCTTCTGCAAAGCCACACAACATGTAGCTTTGTGTTGCTGGTGTTGGATCCCCAGCTGCAGCTGAGTGATGCCAGCCTCATATCTCGGTACTCATTCACACCAAAGTAGAATTAAAGTCATCCCCACAAGGAAAGAGAGGGTCATTCCTAGGGTAGGGGTGGGAAGGCTTGAGGGATCAATTTCAACTTTTGCTAAAAAGTGATGGATCACTAGAACCCAGAGGAGCCAAGTGCAAAATACTCAGTGAAAATGCAAGAATCTGGTTTGTCGGCTGTGGGGTTGGTGGTGGGGCGGGGGATGACAAATGGTTGCTTCTACCATTCACAATTAGAAGTCAGAAATTCTGCTACACATCATCCAGGGTTGGCTCTAACCTGCCCTCTGACCACTCCTGGTTCCATCTATTTCACAGAAGTATGCACCATAACTGTTCAGGTGTAACAAGCACACTCTTTCGAAGGGATTTATTCCTTACACAATGGTTTCTAAAAAATGGCACCATGAGACCTCCTCTATCCACCCTGCAAAACCCTCTTCAGAGTTAGAGAGATCCCTGCTGGTCTGCTTTGGAAAGGCCTTCCTTTCTGCTGCCTCAAGTTGAGATGCTTTTGGCCTTCTCAGGATGCAGCAGATTCACTGACCTCCCCGAGCCAGCTCCAACATGGCCCCAGCCTCCTTAAGCACCCATTGCCAACATGCTTGCTTCATTCGAAACAGAATGCCTCAGTGGTGAGGCAACCAAATATAACCTATTTCCACCAAAAGCAAATCTCTTGGGATTAATTATTTCTCCTTGCTATTATTTCCCACACGCTTTCCCCAACCTGGCATCCTCCAGATGTGCTCAACTATAAATCCCATCACCCCAGTGGGTTTGAGATCATGGAAGCTGTATCCGTGGAGACACAAGATTGGCGAGGGTGGTCTAGACTGAGAGACGATTGCATTGTAAAGTACATTGCAGTATCTCTACAAGTTGGATGTCTGTCTAGTGGCATGTTGGTCATACTAAGCCATATTGAGGGGATCTGTGTCACAGAAAACTGTGAATACTGCACTGTGGAGATGCAGTTTACAGAATGGCCTTTGCCAAATAAGTGAATAGGTCCTTTACAGGGAAATGAGTGGCTAATTCAGGCTGCCCCTCCACTTAACTACCCCAACAAACAAAGGCCCTCGCAGGAGCCAACCAAGGCAAAAACAGGCAGCCTCTAAGTGGAGCTGGCTGGCAACACCCATCACCAAGATATTACTCCATCAGTCCCAACTGATTCCATCTGCCCTCTTCTGTAAGGCCTTGTCTTATAACCCCGCTCAGGCAGAGTAGGAAGCTCTTTGCCTGAAGATTCAGGTTAGTGCAATCCAGTGGAGACCATCCCCAGGATTTAGAAAGCAGAAGAGGCATCTGTAGCTCTTCATGCAGCCATACTTTCAAATTTAGCATAAACAGTCCATATTCTCTGGTAAATATAAGCAACCACTGTCCCAATTTTGTTTCCATTTTGCCTTTTGTGGAGATGCTGGGAATCCTCTTCATAAAATGCTCTGAATATGCACTATAATTCTTCAGCTTCACACCCAGTCTCCTGGGACTTCTCTGTTAGGGTGGGGTGGCAGATGCTTTGCCTTGAGCAGACTTCTCCAGCCTGGTACCCTCCAAATGTGCTAAACTGCAGCTCCCACCATCCCCAGTCATCATAGCCATGGTGGCTAGGGATGATGGGGATATGGTCCAACCCATCTAGGAGGCACCCAATGTGTGTATATATGCCTCTGCACATACACACAATGCCAGGGCACTGCTTCTCTCCCTCTCCCCCCCTCCCCCCCCCCCCCCCCCCCCCCCCCCCCCTCCCTCTCTCTCTCTCTCTCTCTCTCTCTCTCTCTCTCACACACACACACACACACACACACACACACACACACAGCAATAATTGCATAGCCAGGTTTCTGAATACTGTATTCTTAAGCTTAAACCAAAAAGGAAGCCACTGTGGTCAGATTACTAATCTTTCCTGGTTTGGCTAAAGAGGCACTATAAATGAGTCAGAGAAGAAAGTGTGTATGTGTCATTCCCCCCATGATGTGAAAATAGGTGCTTCACATACAGCAGCATCTGTTTTCAGTACTCTGTGAAATACTGGAGGAGCTATAATGGGCTTGACAGGCTTGAGTTAGGGGAAGGGCTGCTGGTGAACATGAGGAACATGCAGAAAAGGGATTGCTGCTTCCCAGCAAGGTTTTATGGAGATGGGACAGCAAAGTATCATGACTATCCAACTTCTCTGATCGATGAGAAGTTCCAGGGATGCAGCACCTCACCAGGTCTAGCTTCCTTTAGAGAAGATTTATGGCATTTGCTTTGAGTTTAATTACACTTGGAGGCACAGCTTAAGCACTCCAACAAGCAGGCAAATCCACTGCCTAACAGTTATGGAGAAAAAGATAGCCTTCCAAAATACAAGAGCCCAAACCCAGCTTTCTCTTTTACCCTTTTACCCCTCAACACAAGTAGGCCTAAACTGGGGACAGATTGTTGGTGCATATCCAAGCCCCAACCTCAATGTCCTGATCTATTGCCCTCATCTCACAACTAGCTTGCATTTTTTTCTTGTCTAGGAGGAGAAATAAAGATGAGTCATCTCAAAGCATCTTCTGGCCTTCTTGGGACATCAGCTGTAGTTTCCCCTGCAAAGGAGGCAACTTCATGTCCATGCAGAATCTGTGTACTCATGCTGGCCCCATGAATTTTCTCCTGTCCAAAGCTGCAGTCTTCTATATCAGGGGCATCCTTTGTAAAAGGGGGAGTGCATCACTTTACCACCTCCTGCATGTAATTAGCTCTCCCCCATGAGTACCTCGATTTCTGTGAGTGTTGTGTAACAATGATTCAGGCTTCTTGAACAGTCTCACTGAATATTCTCTAAGACTGAAGAGTGTTTCTCGTGCTTGACAAGATAAACCAGAACAGTGACACACAAATGTTCCCAAGAATTTCTTACTTAACAGGGGCTCTGTAACAGGCTTCACATGAGGTAGTAAGAAACTCCCAGTGCCTGTTACTGCCACCTCAGGATTGTTTTACTGGCTTGAGAAAGGAGGATTGGAACTGGCATGGAGGGCTGGTACTAAGGCAAGAATGGGAAGGGTTGAAAAGCCAACTTTGATTATTGCCCAGCTGAAAAGAATAGATTTTGTGAGTGATTGAGTGAGTGTTCACATTACAAATTCCTCCCTTCCATCCCAAATTTTGTACTTTTGCTAATTTCTCAACTCTCCAGTTTGCTTAACAAAATCAAGGGGGGGGGGTAGATCAGGTACTTATTTAAATATTTAATATCTGCATTCCAAGAAATGTACCATTATTCTTTGAGCTGTTCTCAGCATAGCTAGAATTAAACAAACAATCACAATGAGTTTCCTGAAATACATGGTAAGCTTCTCCTTGCCCTCCTGTGCACCATGGCTCAAGCTTTTCAGCTCTTTCCAGAACTCTCCCAGCAAATCCATTCACTTTTTTCATCGCCCTGTCTCAGAGCCACATACAAGGATAA